TTTTTTTTGGCTTTTTTACCCCACCAATTTCGAGCAGTCCGTCATTGCACAGAGCGATCCATCCTTCTCAGCATGGCAACATCCCACCGCTTCTTCCCGCTCGTCTTATCCCCGCCATCCTCCAACAATACGAAAGCCGGTCGACGAAATTAGGCGGCAGCAAGAGATTACAAGCGATGGTATTGGCAGGCACCGAGGTATGCACGACGAGATTATGCACGAAGATATAAATGACAACAGGAGCAAAAGGAGCGTGCAGATGAGGAGCATAGAGCACCGCAGGCACACAGCCATGCTTTGCTTGAAAAGAGGACTCTGACCTGAGCCGGACGAGGTCAGTTTTGAGGCAGAGGACCAGAGGCGCGTGCCTGCGCGTAGAGCATCTGGGCTGTCTTGTCGTCGGTGCTCGAAGCATCAATCGATGCTGCGATCGACGAGAAGGGCGGCAGCGTTGTTCCGTGTCCGCCGTTCCCACTTGGCACGTGGAAGATGGGGTTGATGTGATGCTGCTGCTGGGCATGGCCCGCGTTCGGTTGGAATGCCTGCGGAGCCGATCCATCGCCGCCGGTGTCGCCGCGATGGGGGATCGCATTGTGCAGGCTCTGATGCAGAGGCGGCAGCTGATAGTTCGGATGGAAGCCCGCCGGAGCCGCACCTGCTCCGCCGTGGTAAGGGTGGAAGCGCGGGATTCCACTGGCGTGGTGCAACGGCGATGCAGAGCCTTGTCGATGCGCCGATGTCGACGACGCACGGCTGTTCGCTCGGCTCTGACGGCTGAGAGACTGACGAGCCCCTACCATATGCGCCGGACCGGGAGAAACATTGCCGGGCGTGCGAGTTCTAGCTTCGGCTGCCGTCATGTTTTCCATGTTGGTGATCAGCTGATGGTCCAAGGAGCTGATCGAACGTGTCTCTTGCGAGTTGCGATGCGACTCCAGGGACGGGGCGAAGCGGCGCTGATCGAAGGACGGAGCCGAGGCGAGCGAAGAGGACGAGCTGGCTCGCTGGATATGATGCCCTTGCGGCAGATGCGACCCGGTCCCGGGTCCCGGATCACTGTCGCCGGTTTGGTACGACTGCATCGAGGCTCGGCGCGGATCGACCGCATCTTCGAAGCTTGACATGGAATGATCGTCGTCATGCTCCCGTCGTCGCGCCTTGTTGGAGCGGCTGTACCGCGTAGCCCCGACGCCACGCCACGCCATGTTGCCGGTCACCGCGGGATTTGCCGCAAGACCGTATTCGGGGCTCAGGCCATGGATAGGCGGCTGCAACGGCGAGCGGGGGAACTCGCCCGATCCGTAGCTTGGCATGGACGGCGAGAGCTGCGATCCCGGCGCTGCAGGCTGCTTGCCGCGCGCCTTCTCGCTCGGACCCGTCCGATACGGCTCGTCGGCCTGGATGGAGCCCGCGAGCCATTCCACGGGATCCTTGCTGTTGGAAGAGGCGAGGAGCTGATTGCGCTTTTGCATGACGGCGCGCGCTCGGTCGCGGGCGGCCTTCTGTTGCGCCTCTCGCCTTGCCTTTTCAGCCTCTCGCGCCGCCTTCTCGGCCTCCTTCTTGGCTTTCTTCGGATCGACCGGCTTGGACGGCGCTCCATTCGATTGCGGCGCCGCACCGGAATGCTCAGCCGCGATCTTCTGGGCGGGCGTCGGTTCCATAGGCGATCTGAGATCCTGCTGCGCGTGAGGCATCATGCCGTTGGACGCCATGCGAGCGGCGGCCGCGTTGGGGGAGCCATAGTGCTGTGCAGCGCCAGTTGTGTTGCCACCGGCACCTCCGCTCGAGCCAACAGCAGTGGTGCTGCCGCCGCTGCTTCCGAAAACGGACGAAATGTTGAGGCCCCAGCCCTTGCTCCTGCGTCTTTCCTTGTCACGAGAGCCGATGGTCTCGTTGCTAGCGTTGGATTCATTCTTCTGGGAGAGGTCGCCCGAGGACATGGCTCCAGGGAGCCCCCTGTCGATGCCGACATGGGGATATCCGGCAGCATGGGGAGCGAAGCCCCTAGCCTGCGGATCATCGTAAGCGTCACGTTGCAGGTTGGCGACGTCCTGCCTGTACTGGCGTTGGTATTGCTCGTACTGGTGCGCTTGCAACGTCTGGCCCTGACGATAATCGCCATGCTTGAGCGTCGCATCGGTTGCTTGGCTGGCCGAGGGTGCGGCGGATGCATTGCCAAGCACGACTGTGGCATCCGAGGAAGGAGCGCCGGAGGACGGGTCATCGTGGTGTGTCGAGCTGCTCTGCGCATAGAGAGATGCCGAATCGGGGAACGCTGGGTATCCGGACAGCGAGACGTCCCTTTGCATGGAAGGCATCGACGGAGCCCACTGCATCTCGGCGGAATCTACCTGCATTGGTGAAGCAGGGGAAGCATTCGCACTGGCAGCCGGGTCGCTGGTGTCGGTCGGCCGGCTGCCGTTGACCATGACGACAGCGGAGCCGTTGGGCTGGCGGAGCATGGCCATCGGTTTGAGGTTGGGTTCTGCCGCACCGAATGGTGGTTTGGATGCTTGGGGCGACAGCGGAGTCGAATGCGAGGGGGGTACGGGCCGCGATACTCCCGCATTGGCGGCAAAGTTCTGCTGAGGGCGAAGGGGAGCGGTTGCGCTGACGACAGGCTTGGCCTGGGGTGGTCGCATGCGTGGGGCATCCATCTTCATGTACTCGTGCTCGATGCAGTCCTTGCTGGTCAGGCGTGCCTTTGGGTCGTAGCGCAGGAGGTCCTCGATGCAATCGACGAGGCTGCGGGGGACGCGATCGGAGAAGAGTCGCGAAAACTTGACGGGCTTGCAGATTGGGAACTGGAAGCCGACGGACCTCGCCATGCGTATGCCCCTGTCCCACGGACCGCCTCCGTTGCGTCTGCTGCGCGAGTCGTGACCGTAGCTGTGGCTCGGGTCGCCGAGCACTTCGCAGATCTGAAGAACTTGGTCGACTTCGCTGTGGCCCGGGAAGAGCGGTTTGAGGTTGACGAGTTCGGCGAGGATGGTGCCGAGCGCCCACATATCGACGGGATTGCTGTAGTCGCGCGAGCGCAAGAGGACCTCTGGGGCACGGTACCAGCGGGTGGAAACGTACTCGGTATAAGGTGGCTTGCTGAGTGTTTCGCGGGCGAGGCCAAAGTCGGCGAGCTTGACAATGACGAGCACGTCCTTTTCTGGCGGCGCACCCGGCTGAAGCTGCGGATAGTCTGCAAGACCTGTGGTGGTGATGAGGAGGTTCTCGGGCTTCATGTCGCGGTGGAAGTAGCCGTGCTGGTGAATGTGGTCGAGGCCGAGGGCGATCTGCTCGTAGATGGAGGCGACGAGACCAGCGGCGAGCGGACGGCCTTTGCGCGACTTTGTGAGCTGGTAGAGGTTGCCCTCCATGCACTCAAAGACAAAGTGGAGCTCTTTTGTCGTGGGCATGAGGAATGCATCGTAGAGCGGGATGATGTTGGGATGCGGAGGGATGGTGAGGAGCGATTTGAGCTCTTTGAGCTTCATGCACTCCTGCCAGTTGGGGAAGGGCTTCTTCATCTTCTTGATGGCGACGAGACGCTTGCCGATGTACTCGGGACGGGTGGTGGGATGCTGCATGGGCGAGAGCATGGTGCCACTCGGAAGTGGGCTCTTCCAGTCGGCGAGGCATACCGTGCCGAAGGAGCCGTCACCGACGTCCTTGATGACGGTAAAGTCGCGGGGACCTTCGCGCATGAGCGAGGCAGCTGTGGTGGGCATTTCTGGTGGGCGCAGTGAGGATGAAGCCGATGGCCCGGCGGAGGGAGGAGCGGCGTCGGATTTGAGTGCGGCCGAGCCGTGCGCTGCGGCGGAGTACACCGCACCGGAAGAACCCACCATGTCGGTGCGGGGATCGATGTGACGATGGTGCTGGTCGTTGGCGGGGAGAGCAAGGGGTAGCTTCGAGCTCGAAGCAACCTGTGCCATTGCTTATCTGGACACGCAACGCAAACGCAGCATGGTCGAGTGCAGCAAGTCTCTACAAGGGGTGGCCAGTGGCAGACGGCGTGCAAACCGCGTCCGACCCTTTTGCGATGATGGAGGGCGGGACGAGGAGCTGATCGGGCGAGATGCGAGACGAGATGGGCGATGCAAGCGCGGCCTGATCAAGAGAGAGGGAGAGAGAGAGAGAGNGCGAGATGCGAGACGAGATGGGCGATGCAAGCGCGGCCTGATCAAGAGAGAGGGAGAGAGAGAGAGAGAGCACGTCGAGCACGAGTGCGGAGCGGCTGTGAATCTGCTATCCGCGAAGTAGGCGGCCTGCGAGGCAGTTTGTTTCGGACTGACCGGCGGGACCCGCGCAGCAGAGGTCGGATGGGCCGAGGTGGAGCGCGACGACACTTGCAGTGTGACTGAACGTGACGATGTGACTGGTCGCAAGTGTGGCAGCGCGAGGCGCGAGACCAAAGCTGCAAACGGATTGGCGGCGGCCGCGGTGACGGCGGACGACGGGGCCGACAGGCGAGTCTCGAACGGAGCACGGTTCTGCGCGGACGAAAGCGGATGCGAGGACGAGATCCACGTCGAGCGTCGGAGGGCGAGTCGGAGCGGTGAAAAAAGCCAATCAAGCGCAAGCGCAAAAGGGCTCTGGCGTGCGGTCCGAGCGCAAGGTAGACGGGATGGTGATCGATGCGAGCGATGGCGAGATACGGATACTGTTCACCCGGTGCGTGCCAGTGCGAAGTCTGCGGCGAGAGCAGAGACGGAAGGTGAAGCGAAGCGAGACGATGGTGGTGAGCAGCGTGGTGGCGGTGGGCGACGGTGGGGTTTGGCGGTGCGGGACGAGAGCGCCTCTGGATGAGCTGTGCAGTGCAGATGGCAGCAATCGCGGTTGCCTGAGACAGCGGCGAGCTAAAGTTGGAGCAAAGTGCAACCACTCGAGCGCTTTGCTTGCCTTTACCACTGCAGAGGGCAGTGTGCGGTGTGCGGTGTGCGGTGTGCAGTTGCAGCGACGCAGCGCGCGGTGCGGGTCCAAATGTGTGGCTGCTGGCTGCTTGAGGGCGGGTGCGGGTGTACTACTGGAGCGCCTGCCGTTGACCGTCACGGCAGCAGCCTTGCGCCCGCGCGCGGCTGGGCTGGACTGGGCTGACACTCCCAGCTCACTCTTTTGCATTCAGCTTCTGAGCGCGCGGTCCGGCCAAGCCAGCACCACAGGGGCGTTGGGCGCGTGCCGGCACAACAGCAGCAGCAGCCAATTGTCAGGTAACTCCGGCGCGGCTGGGCCACGAGCGTCGCCCGTCGACCCGCCCAAAATGTCGGAAAATAACAAAAAAAAAGTAAAAGAGAAAAAATGGCAAGCCGGGGAGGCCAAGCAAGGGGTCAAGCGCTCATCTCGACTGCGAATCATCCCCACCCACGCTCGGCACATTAACCCACCCACCTCATTCGCCCCCCCACCTCGCCTGCTTATGCGGAGGAGGAGGGGCGGCGGCGGCGGCGGCGGCGGACGGCTGCTGTTGCTGCTGCCTTGCCCGGATCCTCATCCGAATTCCAACCAGAAGGGGCCGCCACCTGCCGACCGCTCACGGGAGGACCGCGCGCGCCGATCAGACCGCCCGTCCGGCGTGCCAAGCGGCAGCGGCGAGGTGGGAATGGACACGCGTGTCGCATGCGTGCGGGCGAGGCCGGCGCGAGTCTGCCCATACAATCCGCTCTCGCAGCGCGGATCGCTAAGCGCTGAAGGCTACGCGCTGGTCTCTTGTGCCCCAGCGTTGCCACGTCTTTCATGAGCCAGAGCTTGCCAAGCCCAAGCCTCGAAGTCACTCGAGAGCCAATATGCTCGTGTGCTCGTGTGCTCGTCTGCAGACGACGTGGATTCCTCTGCTGCATCCAACCGCGACCAAAGCCGCTGAGACCGCCCTCTCTTGCCCATCTCTTTTCTTCTCTTTTTCCTCTTTGAAGCCAGCCCTGTCGAACGATTCATGGTTGGTTTGGATGGCTTGACGTGCGTGGACCGCGGAGGTATACGGTCCCGTTGAATTCGCTTTCTTGGCCTGCCGAGCGAGCTCTTCACTGCAGACGCCACCGCGGCGACCGGTCAAACCCACCAACAATCCCGCCGACGTCGATGTTTGCTTATGCCGGATAAAGCGCTGGGGCGCAGAAGCATCGAGTGGCCGATCGGTCATCGTTGTAAGACAGACCAAGAGCTGCAATGCATCTTGACAGGCATGATGAGGAACGCCAGTTCACTAGTGCCCACTGCCGCGTCCACATGGCTCGGGGGTTTTGATTCGCGCTTTTTGGGCTGGACCCTCGCGAGCGGATCTCGAATCTCGCGCAGCAGATGTACCGCGATGGGTGAGCAACACGAACCTCCATCTGGCTGCCGAGCCACCAGGGCGACGGCAGCCGAGCGCAACAACGCCACAATCTCAAGCTTTGCAGCCCAATGCTGTAGCTTGCATCAGATCTCATTTGGGCCGATCGAGCGGCCAACCAATATGATGATGCCTACTTGATCTGTCGAGCAGAGGATCTAGCTTTTGCGATCACCGATTTCACGTCCAGCACCGTGACCCGATAGCCCGATGATTCTTCGCGGACACCCCGAAGTAACGGCCAGCTTTTCGCCCCATGAAAGACTTTATGAAGACCGACCCCTCCTAGCCTGGATCAGGTCCCCCTTCGCTACACGAGACACTTGTCTCTCTGTGCTGAGCCCTTGCAGGAAGAAGAGGAAAGCGGATCTGAAGAAAGGAGGCGGGGGGGGGG